GAGGCAGGTGTGTGTAAGTGTGTAGATCTAGATATATCCATCTATATATCCATCTTGGCTCCATAGTCAACAGTCTTGGCACCAGCAGCCAGGAAATTAAAAGGTGCATTGCAATGGGAAAGTCTGCTGTTAGGGACCTCTCCAAAGTGCTGAAGAGCAATGGTGTCTCTTTGGAGACTAAGGTGCGTCTGATACAGGCCATGGTCTTCGCAATCACCTGTTAAGCATCAGAGAGTTGGACAATGACCAAGGAGGATAGAAGGAGAATTGATGCCTTTGAGCTGTGGTGCTGGAGTAGAGTATTGAGAATACCATGGACTGCTAGGAAAACAAACAGATTTGTCCTGGAAAGGGTTAAACCGGGTGGCTCCTTGGAGGCAAGGATTCTGAGGCTCCGTCTAACATACTTTGGACATGTTGTGAGGAGAGACCGGTCCTTAGAGAGGGACATCATGCTTGGGAGGGTGGAGGGACGCACAGGAAAGGAAGGCCCTCTATGAGGTGGATTGATTCAGTGACTGGGGTAATCAGGATGGGAGTGTCAGAGGCAGTGTGATTGGCACAGGACAGAGCGGAGTTTAGGGCTGTTGTACATAGGGTCGCTATGAGTCACAGGCAACTCCACGGCACATAACAACAACAACAACAACATATATCCATCTATAATCTTGTGTGCAAGTATGCTTTCCAAGCAACAACTCAAATTATTTTTAAATCACTCCTGAAATAAATGGTGAGCCATATTATTTTCCTTTTCTTACTTAACATTGCATGCATTTAATTATATTTCAGCAAATTAAATATGTGCAGGATGTTAGGCCATTTGAGAGAACAATATTTAAGAGATGCAAAATTGGGCAACCCCCCCCGCCCCCGGCCCGCCAAACTGTGGAACGCTAGTTAGCTCTTCCAAATTAAAAATATCTACCCGACTCGCCTCACGCTGTACTGCCCTTGTTCTACAGAGGTGGCACTTGTCATTTGAGTCATTTGACAGGGAAACAAGAAACGCCCAGATTCTCAAATGTTCTGCTCAACCTACAGATTGACCAGATATGGACAAAGCCTGCAATGCCGGCACACACGTTCCCTGACTTTAAACCACGCAGTGTCCTCTCATTCTGTTTGGACAAGTATCCTGTGGCCTCGGCTGCCATACTGAATAGCAAAGCTCTGGAGCTTCTTGTTAGACTAAAAGTGGAGAATGCCATGTCCACTTTTAGCTAGACACCTTATTTCTTTGGCTAGTTCTCAAATACGTAAAATATAAAGAAGAGTTAACACTTAAAAGGAGACTATAAAAGAAAGTATCTGCATTGTAAACTTTTAGTAAAGAGAGCCTACAATCTGGACCAGGATTCACGAATGCTATCAGTTGTCTGGAGCTCACAAATAGCTATATCTCCTTGTCCTTCAGTTATGTCACCTGTGTAGTCCTTATTGGTATTTGCCTATTTTAGCCCTCTCTGGCCCAAAAAGTCTCTAATGGATTGACAAGAGTCACTGGGGTAATGGGGTAGGTGTGTCAGAGACAGTGAGACTGGCTCAGGATAAGACAGGGTTCAGAGCTATTGTACATAAGCTCGATATGAGTCACAATCGACTTGACAGCACATAAGAACAACAACTGAAAAAATAAGGAGCCCTTGGATGGCGCAAACTCTCAGTAAAGAAGACTATTCACCAAAAGATCAGAGTTTCAGAGTCCCCTTTAGATGCCTCAGAAGAAAGTCCTGTCAATGTGACAAGAACAGAGCCACAGCCGTGGAGCACGGTTCCACCAGGATGCACGTGAGGTCTCCAGAAGTCAACGCACAACGGCACCTGCCACTTCTCTCTTTTTGTTTCTCTGTTTGGTTTATTTGCTTAAGGCTAAATGGTCCGCTCAAGTGGCCCCAGCTCCTCCACTTTAAGGTCTTTCCATTGTAACAACTGTTAAGATTCAACTCCTTGAGAAAGAAAAGTGTTAAAACTTCCGCAGGGTAACCTCTTTCAGCACCATCAGCAATTAGGATGAGACTCAATACTAATTAACCTTTAAACATAGACCTTGAGACTCAGGTGGGGAAATGCAAAAGAAAGAATAAAATTCTCAATTAAACCATAAGACAAGTAATTTCTCTAGAGGATTTCTGAACTTTTGGATTTCTAATACAGCCAATTAAGAGCTCTTTTTTATCCTACAGGATAGTAACAAAGAAAGGATCTCGCAACAAGTAAATCTGCCTCAGTACAAAAGACAGGCTCTGGGCTCTCAAAGGATGCTCTTTCACAAGCCTCATAACTCTGCTCTGAACCTGGGCTCACATGTTTGGACTGTCCTTACCCTGCGCTTCGAATGACTTTCCTCCCTCCTAATCTTCCTTTTCTCTCTCTGTTCTCTTGCTCTCTCTATAAAAACCCACCCACACAACTTAAAATAGGTATGTTCTAAATATCAGTGCATAGTTGCACTATGTAATCTTCCAAAAACAATAGAAAGGGAATAGATTCTCAACTGAATGTCTAGAAAATTAGGTAGAATATTGCTCAGTTAGGGAGCTCAGGTGGCCTTAGCATATAGGAAGTTGAGCTTTGAAGTAAAAGATAGGTAGTTCAAATCCACCATCTCCTCCACAGGCGAAAGCTGGGCAGTCTCTTCTCATGAGATTTACAGCCTCTGGAACTGACTGGAAGTCTGTTGTCAGCTTGTTCCAACATAACAGCACATAATAACAACAGCATGTTGTGTCCCATCATGCATCGTATTTAAATGTTAGAAACCAATTCAAGATACATATCCCATAATCTTCATTATAAACATTGTTCAAAATGTAACAGAAATACCAGAATAACATCCCAAGGCATCTAACAAAATGCAAGAATCACTACACAAATGACAAAACTTCACTGACATTTTCTACATGTTACTACTATGTTTAAACATATCTCCATAGTATTGCAATAATTACATGTACATACAGAAAAATAATAATATAAACCTATTTTTGGATTCCTAAGCACAAGGCTTCTAGCTATTTGATAAAACTTTACCAGCATGATTAATCAACTCATGTAAAAAAATATTCCTCTATGATTCCAAATCTAGTAGCTTGACAATTTTTCAGTTGAACACAATAATCATTAAATGATTCATAAGAGAAAAGCCAGAAAGACAGGCCACATATGTCATGCCATTCACATGGATTCTTTATCTGTTTATATCATATCTATGAGAATAACACCCTGTTTTAAGAAGAAACAAATAGGTGAATGTAAAAACCAAGAGAATGCCCTAGGACAATTCTGAAGGGGGAAAAAAAATACTCCCGGGGGGGAGTTTGTGTGGGGAGAAGGGTGCAACAATGAATGAATGGAATTCCAAAATCTCTGTAGATATTCATTGAAATGAAAAATAAACAACCTAAATTAAAAAAAATACTCCCAGGCTAATACTGTCTTGTTAATTTTATCTCTTCTCCCAAAATAAATGAGATTTTCAGATGTTGCATATATTTGTGCCTGACTAATTCAACCACTCCATGAAGTCAAGTCTTTTGGTGTTTGGATAGTTTAAATTGCAATAACACCAACAAATATGCTTTCATTGTGTTTACAGAGCCAGGAGTGGAAGAAACACGTCAATGACATCCACCAGTTCTGACAAGTCATTTGACAGGAATCACAATACACAATCTGTTGGAAGTACACAGCAGGTGCTCAATAAACACACTGTGGCATACATTTGAACAATGTGCAATATTACCCCAAAAAAGGAGGTGATTTTGACAACTTCCTATTGCATAAATGCAAAGTCTATATTTAACCCAATCCTGATCCAATTTACAGTGATGGTGTCCATTTTTTTTATGGGTTAAGAGAACAATACAAGTTATGTAAAAACCATAGTGAATGATTTTTAAAAATGGAAGGAGATTCTTACAGGCTGCAATTTTCTTATTACGCAAATTATAAAAAAGGTTTTGTCACACAAACTAATGGTATGAGCAAAGCTCTGTAGCTGGAAACAGTATTGAAAGTGAGTGTTGTTTTCACGTGCTTCAAGCCCTCGATCACAGCCACTAACACGAAGGCAGTATATATGGTTTATAAATATTTCCTCTCTTCCTTAAGAGGGCCCTCTAAGTACCCCTTAGATAACAATCATTCATCTTGTGTTGTTTAATAAACTAAACACTCATATCTTCCAAATAACCCACTGTGATTCCAAAACTATTACTGGGCTTTTTTTTCAAGGTTGTGAAAGCTCAGATTTATTTTCTTTTTCTTCCACCACTCCAAGATGTGGAAAGGTTTTCTATAAAGAGTTATCACTTATCAGAAAAACACAGGCCTTAAAATGGTAAAATATGTAGTCAACTAAATATATTTTCTCTCCTTTACACCTAATGAACTCCTAAACCAATCTAGGAAAGGGGTGGAGGGAGAAGGTAAGCTGCAGTACTGATTTTTTAAAGCTAAGGCTGATTTTAAATCATATTAGAACACATTTAATCTCTTTTCACAAGGGAAATGTTCCTAAGGACCATAAGAAAATACAAATTTTTTAAAAAGGCTTAGTGAACATGAATAATCAAGCAACAAAGACATAATACTGAACACTCTGACACTGGTGCGTCAAATGCGATAATGGTCACCATGGTGGATGGTGTTTGGTGGAGCTCCCCAATTAAAACAAGCTTGGAAACAGGAGTGGCATCCACTTCCGAAATAGCTTGCCTCCGGAAATTCTATGAACCTGGAGAAACGATGAAAGTCATACAAGTGTTCAGGTCTTTTCTTTATAGGTTTGCTATGAGTCATCTACGACTCAACGGCACTTAACAACAACAACAACATGTATCTAATATGTTTAACACATCATGCTCATAACCACAGCTTCAAGTGTTATTCCTGATGATATAAATATAATGAATCAAACAGAAAAAAGTTCACAACTGCCCCCCTGGTTAATATTTTTTGTTTGTTGATAGACAGCATTTTCAAGCTTTTCACCATACCTGTAAAGAGGGGAAGGGTTGCCTCTTGCTTCACAATTTAAAGTTATCCTTTTATCCTCTGAGCTGACAGGAAGAATGCTGCTGCTGGGTTCTTTGATAAACACAGGGCCTTGGAAGAGCAGTTCACCTGGACAGGTAGAGACAGCAAAGAGTCAGCGGCACTGCAGACCTGCATTCCAGAAAAGAGGAATGAAATCATCGCTCCAGTTCTTCAGACAACAACCTCGCTTATGGCGCTGCGCCTGGTTGTCAGCGAACCTGTTCTCAACAGCCCTGCATAAAGTCTAAGGGAATGGAAGCTGGTATAGAAAACACAGCAGCATCACAGGGACCTCTTCAAACTGTCAGGAAGGTGTCAGTACTTGCTTTCCCCTCTCCTGCCTGTTGGCAGAGTTCTGTGACAGCAGCACCAGACCTTCAAGGCTCACTCTCTGCCACTGACTCAGAACTGACTCTCAGGTGACCTGGTTTGTGAAGCTGTAAATCCTGTGGTAGGAGACTGCCCATCTTTCTCAGGGACACAGGTGGACCACCGCTGCTGGACTCAACACCTTTCGGTTAGCAGCATAATCCCAGTGGACCACGTCACCAAGGCTGCCTACGTGAAAATAAAGACACCCACTGGGGTGGGGAACGAGCCTACGGGACTGAGCAATGCTGCATTCTGTTGCTTTGAGTTGAAGCTCAGTCAACGGTACCTAACAGCAAAAATCAAGTTTCTTAACACTACTATTGTATTGCCTTTTACAGAAAATCTTTTGAGAACTGAGGCACAAACTGAGATTTGTATACCTATGTTCACAGCAGCATTATTCATCATTGCAAGAACATGGAAACAGCCCAAATGTCCAACAACAAATGAATGGATTGAGAAATTATGGTACATTCACACAATGGAATACTATGCAGCACACAGGAGCAATAACTTTGTAAATAATTACCTAACTTGGGAGGGACTGGAGAGCATTATGCTGCATGAACTAACTCTGTCCCACAAGGATAAATTTAAGACAGTTATTGTAGAATGAGTACAAGGATCCAGGAGGGGTGGGAGAGGCTGGAAGCAGAGGGATGTGGATGCACAGGAGGAGGTGGGGATTAATCATTGGGTTGTACAATTTGATAGGTGAAGTGGGGTGAGGAAAATTGAAAGAATTTGTTCGAATTTGTATTTGGGTTTTGTAAATAAACTAGTAGAAGGGGGGGCAAAAAGAAGCCTCAACTCAGAAATTGCAGTTCAACTCAAAAGCAGTTCTAGTTCAGTTAAGAGAACTTGAACTTCCTCTGAGGTAAATTTCCACCTATCTACAAAACACCAAAATCTCCCCATGTTCTATGGCTTCAAAAAGGAACATCACTGGAGCAACATACACAGAGTCAGAGCACTTCCTGACTCAAGTTCAAAGACAGAGATCACATGTACGCTCCCCTTGCCTGGACCGCTCAGGACAGTTGCTGAGCAGTTCCTTTTCAAAAAGAGGAGGAGTCAGCAGCGCAAAAGAAAGTGAAACACAGCAAAAGACACTGAGAAGCAACTCAAAAGATCCAGAAACTAGCAATTCATATTTGGGCTACTTCGGACGGCAATATTATGAAACATATTTATCAGAGCAATGACACTCATAAAAGGCAACAAATGAGTGAATACAGTAGTTGAGATGCTGAGAATAACAGCAACTAATCTTGAATACCCTCTGAGCTCATGCTGGCTGTTTATTCCTCCCCCCCACCCCCGGAAGAGCAGAGCAGCCCTGAGGTCCACAGCGACTGGTGGCGGAGCAAATCCCACAGTGTCTCACTAACTCGGCCACATAACTTCCCACTCCAGAGGCAGGAATGTGGGCCAGGGCGCAGCGACACCTCCACTCGGTCCCATCTGTTTTCCCTGTTTCCACTCGGTCCCATCTGTTTTCCCTGCTTCCTCTCTCATACTTTGTACACACACTGTCAGGAGGGACCAGTCCTTGGAAAAGCACCTCCTGATGGCAGAGCTGAAGGGTCAGGGGAAACACAGCCAGAACTTCAACCAGCTGTCCTGACATGACTGTCACGCGAGCGCCAGCACGTCGGAGATCATTGGCTGGGGCGGCACAGAGCAGGGTGCAGAGCTGTCACTCACAGGGTTACAGAGTCAAATCAAATCAACAGCGCCCAACAGACTCAGAGCTCCTTGTCAGCTGTCTTCCAATTGGCTCCTGACAACAGAGAATCCATGCACCCAGAATGAAATACCCCCTGGCCCTGCGCTCCCCCACAGTTCCAAGTGCTGTGACCCACAGCATTGGCACTGGCTAATGTCAGACATTGATTACCAGGCCTTTCTTCCAAGCCAGCCTTCGTGCAGAAGTTGTGCTGAAATTCATTCAACACAGGTGACCTTGCTGGCAGTCCAGCGACCAGTCGCATATATTCCAGTGTCACAGCAACATGCAAGACACCACAGTGCCACAAACTGACCGATGGGAGGGGAGATCAGGAGCTCTGTTCTCATCAACTCAGTAAATGAGTAAGATGAACCCAGAGTTCTCACAGCATCTCTATCCTAGGCAGATGCTATTTCAGAGCTGAGTGATAACAAAAGAAAGATTTTAATGATACAGAGACTATGTTTTCACTCTCTGGTCACCTAAGGCGAAGGGAGACACACAGAAAGTTCAACAGCCCACCCACACCAACGGAGCTCTTAAGTGCGGGAAGGAGTATCAGATTCCAGTTGTCAGGGTCTTGTGTGGTTCCTTTTCATTAAACAGTACTGTGTTCAATACGATCCAAGAGAACAACCAGCCTGCTTTTTCTGGCTCAGCATTTCCAGATGTGGTGGTGGTGGTGTTGTGTACCACAGAGTGAGAACTGACCCATAGCTGACACTCCAGTTGCTTTTCAGAGACTGTAACTTGCATGGGAGGAGACTGCTCATCCTTCGCTTGTGGGGCAGTGGGTGGATTCAAACTGCAAACCTTTTACACTGTCATCACGATTCCTTACCACTAAGACACCAGAACTTCTATACTCAGTATCTCAGAAAGCACAGGCTTCTAAAGGCTCTGCTCTGAGAAGGTGGACTAGATAAAGAAGAAAGTGGCATCAACACTGAAGGATAACTAGTAAAACATGCATGGGAACTCACGTGCGGCAGGGCTGAGGATGCACAGGGGTGTAACCACAGGGTCGCACAGTTCAGGGGGTGGAGGGAGGGGGGGAAAGGAAATGGGAAGGATCTGGGCGAAAAGACAAGGTGAAAGTGGGCAAAAGCCAATGGTGATTAATTTTATAAAACATAATGCATGAGAATGATTGTATGAAACACAATGTGAATGAAGAATAGTGTAAAACAGAATGTATACAAACTTTGTAAACCAATTTTTAAAAAAGGAGGATTGATCATCAACATCCTGTGTTATGCAGATGATACAACCCTGTTTGCAGAAAAGAAAGAATTAAAGCATTTAACATCAGATCAAAAACTAAAGTCTTCAGTACCAGTTCCATCTTAACATCAAGAGAACAAAAATCTTCATCTTTGCATGAACAGGCAACATGAAAGAAGAACAAATGGCCGAAGTCGTCAATAATTTGATCTCATTTGGATCGACAATCAACACCCTTGGTACCAGCAGTCAGTAGATCAAAAGATAAGCTGTACTGGGAAAATCTGCTATCAGAGATCTCATGAAAGTGCTAAAGAACAAGGATGTCAGTGTAAGGACTAAGGTGCACCATATCCAAGCCACGACATTTTCAGTTACTTCCTATGTATGTGAATGTTGTACAGTGAATAAGGACGACAGAAGAATCTATGCCTTTGAACTGCAGTGAAAACTGTAGTCAAAGAGTACCAAATATTTCATGGACTGTCAAAGGACAAACAAGTCTGTCTTGATGGAGCTGTAACCAGGGGACTTCTGAGAGGCAAGGACTGTGGAATTAATATCTCGTACACTTTGGACATGTTGTCAGGAGGAACCAATCCTTGGGTGGGGGGAGAATTATCACACTGATAATGATAGAAAGTTAGCTAAAGAGAGGAAGACCTTGAATGCGCTGGATTGATACTCTGTCACAATGGGCCCAAGCATGCTGGAGAAGGTAACAGTGGTGCGGGCTTGGGCTAGCTTCCGATCCGTCATTCACAGGGTCACCATGAGTGGTAATCACTTTGATAGCACCTAACAACAACAACAACAACTACAAAAACAGCAAAACTCGTATAGACTGCCCCTCCCCCAGCAACACCCCAAAAGGCTCTGTGACTTTTTATACATTAGCACAAATCCATAATCACATGAGACGGCGTGGGCCATGCCTTACTCTGCACACAGTGACAGGGACCACTCCGTCGTGCTTCAACAGAAGGCACCAGGTGATGGAGACTCTGGGGTTCAAGTGCTCACCCCTTGAGATCAATATAAACGCAAAAGGAACAGACACTGGAGTCTTTACTGACCTGAAACCAATTAGACAACCTTTTCCTCAAACCACATTTTAATGCCCCAAAGGGCAGAACTTCGATCATTCAGCCACGTATTCCTAACTAGGAAAAAAGCACCTTGGTGGTGGACAAAGGGTGAACTAAGTGGGTTCAATGTAACATGGAGACGGATTCTGATTTTCACTTTTTGTGAAAGCAGCGTTTCTTCCGAAATGCCAGCCTGGCTCCAGAGTTCTGTGTAAGTTTACAACTGAAAATAAAGGGAATATAACATTTCCAGCCAGGACTAATAAGTTCAAAAACCCAAACCTAAGGTGTTAGCCTCCCCCTCAAACACCCACAGGCTACTCGGAGTAACCGCCTTTGAATGTAAGTACAAGTTTCATGAGCTCCTCAGGTAACGCCATGGAAAGGATCAGACGGCGGCCGAGCAATTCTAATGGTCATACTCCATGAAATTTTTATGAAGACTGACAAAGAAAAAAAATAGACAAGGGATTCCAGGCAGCTCGCATTACTTTTGCTAAAAGAAATGAAATTCCTAAAAGGCGGTGATATGATCTCTGAAATGCTAGGAAAAACAGGAAAGCGTGCTCCATTTCCCCTTGCTGTTTTCTGTCTTATCCACATGAAACAAAACAGCCAGGCATAGTAAAGGGAATGAAATTCTGAAAGGGAGAGTCAGCAGTGCTATTGAA